CTTCCCGTTCCCTCAGGGCTCTTGGGGGCTGGAAAGTGGGATCCTCCCAGTGTTGCCTTACCCCTCATTCCCTCTCTGGGGAAGTGGATGGGATCTGGTTTGCCTGCAGATGGAACTGTGGGCTGGGGAGCAGCAGGTGGAGCCTCCAGGTTGTTTTGTTTTCGGTTTGTTGTTTATTTTCCTTACTGGGAGCTGGAAGAGCTCGGTGAGGTGGGAACAGCTCCGCCCAGCCCCTGTGTCCCTGCTGCCCTGGATCCAGCCCTATCCCACCCAATCCTGGGCTCCAGCGGGAGCTGACGCAGCGGAAGCTGCAGCACTGGGAAGTTTTCCTGTTGGATCCTTTGTCCATTTGCCTTGGCAGAGCCAAACGGGGTCTGGGGAGCTGAGACAAGCCCGGGATGCCAAACTCTTGGACTCCCTGCCGGTCTTCCTCAAAATCCCTGAGGATAAGCTGTATTCCCAGCTGAGGCTGCTCACTCTGCCCACGGCTGCCCAGCCTTTTCCAGGTGCTGCAGGGCAGCTCTGCCTCTGCTCCCCCTCAGTTCAGATTTCTAGGAAACCTCCTATTTCAAAGAATTCCTTCCCGTATCCCTGTGCACAGGGCTGATTCCTGTTATTTCAGCCCCTTGCAACCCTACTGCCAGTGCTCACCTGTACCAACGAACCCAAAAAGCTGGGATTTCACTCCAGAGTCCCAGCTTCCCCCTGGAGAAGGTGTAACCTTTCCTACCTGCACCCCCAGCAGCAGCCAGTGGGTTTATTTTGGGCCTGGCTCCTTGTTCCCGCTGCTGCTTTTCCTTTCCCTGCTAATCCCTTTCCTTCCTGTGGTTTGTTTTTATGGCATTGTGGGGCTGGACTCCTCGGGGAGCACAACAATGGCTGCAGAGCTCTGAACTGTACAGCAGCAAGGAGGAAAACAGGAAAAAAAGCCCCAAATTCCAAGCCGGCAACCCTGCTTCCTTCCATCCTATCCCTCCCGCTGTGGGGGGGTGTCCTCCGCCTTCCCCACCTCCAGACAAAGCTTCCAGGGCTTCCATGCTTTTTCCCAGCAGCAACAGCAGTGCTTGCTCAAACATTTCCACAGGTTTCTGGATCCTTTATGCTTATAAATGCTTCCCAGGGGGTTTATGTGTTCCCATCTTGGTCAGGGACCAAACAGGGATCCGGACAGTGCGAATCTCCGAGATGGGAATTCTGTCTCCCACAGCCTGGATTTCCAGCCCTTTCTAAGCAACGCTGTTCCCAAAGTGGACCAAATAAACCCTAATTTCCTGGTCCTCTTTTACCCTGGATCCTTGTAAAGGTGAAGATTGGGAGGGCTCAGATAGAGGTGTGTTTTTCAGTTCTTCTAGGAAAACACTTGTCCTTAGAACACGTTCCCGTGCTGCTCTGGGGAGGCCTGGCTGAAATGGGATCCTGGTTTATTCCTGAAGGGAATGGTTTTCATCACCTCCAGGGCCTCACCACCGGCTGGATTTTAGATGTCATCACCTCCATCAGCGCTGGGTTCCCACCCTTTGGATGGATCCCTCCCATCCCAGGGGAGGAGAAGGAGCAGATGGGATGAAGATTCCATAGCAGGTTGATGATGAGGGCAAAAACAGGGCTCGGATCTACTTTTCCATCATGCCCAGCAGCCTTATCTGTGTCTCCTCTCCCTCCACAGCCTGGCTGGCTGCACCTAAAGCCACATTCCCCATCCCAGACCAGGTGCTGAGGTTTTGGGGCTGCTCCAAGGAGCTTCAGCCCTCGGTGTGGGGATCCTGAGGGGTGGGAGTTTGCTTCCATTTGGCTTCAGCCACACAGAGGCTTCCAAGTCTGGGAAGTGTTTGGGAAGTGTTCCCAAACAGCCATTTCCCAATGGGAACTTCTCTGGAAGTACAGCTCAGGAAGGCTGGGTTCTTCCAAAGAAAAATCTTGTTATTTTTGAGTCATCTGTATCTGAACCTTTCTGCGCCAGAGCCGGCAGGGAGGGCAGGAGGGAGAGGGGCCTGGTGCCGGGAGAACATTGCTCTGAGGGCACCTGGGATTGCCATGGGAGCCTCCAGCTGGGCAGGGAAGGTGAGGCCGTGATTCCTCACCGGAACCCGAGCTAGCAGCCCCCATCCCAGCTCCCCTGCCACTGGATTGCCCAGGGAGAGGACAGCCCGTGGGCCCGGAGGTGTGGCGGGATGGGGGGATCTCGCTGCCTTCATCCCGGCTGCCACCCGCGCATCCCTGCTCCTGGCCAGCTTCCTCCTGCGTCCTGCAGCTGACCTGGGAGGCGAGCTGGAAAGGGAAGAGGGCAGAGATGGGCACCCCTCCGCCCTGCCAGGAGGGACTGGCCAGCACAGCCCTTTCCTCTGCTGTATTTCCAGGGAGCCGCTCGCTTCCATGTGGGAGCAGGAGGCTGCTAGAAAGCAGATCCCAAACAGCCTCCATCCCCCCAACAAAGTGGATCCCCTCACCCCAGTGCAGCCCCCGGGGTTAACAAGGGTGTCCCAAAGCCCAGAATTCAAACATCTGGGGCTGTGACACTGTGACCTCCGGGAATTTGGAAGGACGTGGTTTGTTTAGTCCAGAAAAGCCACAATGACACCACCGCAGGCTCCGAGTGCGTAAGAGGTGTTTACAGGGATAATCCCTTCCTCCTTCCAGATGGATCCCATCGGCCCCACTTTTCTCCCCCTCCCCACCCCAGCAGGCACAGGAGGTTTGGGCAGCTCCTGGAGCCATCCAGCCCTTTGGCCCTGGGGCACGAAGGCTCCTGAAGGACATGGCTGGAGGTGCCGACCTTGCAGAGGGAGCTGATGTCCAAAAGGGAATGTGGGGGTGGGGGGAGACCTTCCCACCCCATCCAAGTCTCCCATGGTCTGGAGACACAGGGAAAAGCTCTTTCCTGGCACGTGGGCATGGTCTCACTGGTCTGACTGGAGCAGGGATCAGGGATCAAGGTCTTATCTGAGCCCTTATCCAAGGCAGCAATAGCGGAGTGATGGAAACCATGCGTGGAAAACAAAGCCTTGCCTGGCGATCCCTGCGGAAAACCGGGATGCTTCACTCCGGGGGCTGGTGAAAGCTGCCAGAGGTTTGTGTACAGAACAAACCAGGACCCGAAAAACCCCCGAGGAGCAAATGGAAAACCCCTGTGGCTGACGGGATCCGTGGTGACACACTGTCCCGAGCTGGGATCCGGGGCAGAAGAACGGCCAAATTTGGGAAAGGATGGGCCGTGCATGTGGCTGCCAGGGAGCTGATCCCTGTTGGAAGAGTGACACAACAGGAGCCCAGCTCCCAGTTCTGGGGCAGCCAGGCCACACGTCCCCAGCTTGCCACAACCTTGGTGGCCCTGCCATGAGGCAATTGTGGGTTTTGGGGTGAGGAAGAGAAATTTTGTGAGGTTTGGGATGAGGAGGAGAAAGTTTGGGGTTACAGTGTGCTGGGTGTGGGTGCTGCTACCACAACCCCTCTGCAGTTGGTCACCATGTCCCTGTGGGACACCAGTGCTGGTGGAAGGTTTGGATGTGTTGCCCTGGACACGGATTGAGGTGAGGCTGTTCCCTGGGGTCTTGCAGTTTTGGGGGTTCCCCCTGCCAGGTGCTGCCCCATCCCCCTGTGGGAACTCCAGACCAGCAGCAGAGTTGGCTCCATCCTGGAACGCTCTCCTGCTGCGACCGACACGCACGGGGGGCCTGGGAGCAGGAAAGAGGCTTTTCCAGAGCTGCTCCAAGTGGAGGCTTCCTCATCTGTCCAAAAGATGACGCATTTCAGAGGCAAAAAGCAAAACAAGACCTGCTATTCCAGACCTCCCTGGTTTCTCCAGCCTGGGCCTGTCCTGGGTGCCCTCCCGGCTATCCAACGGCTCCATCACAGCCGTGGGGATCCCACAGGATCCGCCCTCTGCAATCCCAGCCGGAGCAAGGAGCTGCAGCCCAGGGAGGGGGGGACTGGGAATGAGAATCCCTCTGGCTCTTGGGGACCACGGTGCAACACATGCAGGCAGCAGAGATGCCCCAAGTCCGAAACCCAAAGCAGAGCCGGGAATGTGGCCGTTTCTCCCGGCTGGAAGGGATTTTATCCCTCCACGGGGAGCAAACCCACTGTGTGTGACCTTCAGCATCCCTGGATGCCCGTGGCAGGGACAGGCAGTGCTTGTCCCTCAGCACAGCTCCTGCCAAAGGCGATGATGCTCACGTGCCTCAGCCCTGTTGTTTTGGATTCTCCGGCCTCTCGGAGCCTCCGGAGGGTGGGGAACACGCCAGTCCCTGCCCCCGGAGCCTGGGGAGGCGGGGGCTGCTTCAGGGATGGCCGTGGGCCAGGGTGATGAGGTGTGGGCTTGGGACACCTCCTTCTCCATCCCTGCTAGAGGACAACCCCCAGGGTCATCTCCCCATCCCCTCTGTCCCACATCTCTTTTCCCGTCTTCCCCCATCCCACCCTTTCTTGCTCACAGGGTGTTTAGAAAGGAAAGAGCTGGAAGTTAATGCAGGAGAGCTCCTCTCCTGCACTGTCCCCTCCATCCCCAGCCAGCTCCTGGCTCATCCCCAGCCCTTCCTGTCCTTGGAGAGGTGGAGATGAGCAGGAGAGCTCAAAATCTTCCTTTGGGTGAAAGGGAAACGCGGCCAAGAATTTATTATTGATACAACCAAAGTTTAAACAGTCAAGAGGAGTTTTTAGCTGGGATTTGGACTGTGGAAAACTGGCCCTCACAGCTGTCTGTGCTTGGCCTTGGAATGAAAAACAGTGGGAAAGTGACTTAATTGAGTCAAACCAAAGCTGGGGGAAGGTTGAAATGAGCTCAGGAGCTGCAAACCCCTCCAGCAATCACCAACAGCCTCTTTCCTGGAAAACTCAGTGCACAGCCCAGGGTCAGACACTGGGACTGGCACCAGCAGACACAGCTTTTGATGGATCCATGATGGATCCACAGCCTGTGATGGACCCATGATGGACCATGATGGACTCATAATGGATCCACAGCCCCCAAAAGGGCTCCTAAGGGGAATGAGAGCAGCCAAAGGTGTGGTGGGAGCTGATGGGTGCTTTTATTACACAAGGTGTGACATCCTCCCTCCACCCCTCTGGAACAGGGATAGATGAGGGTTTAACTCCATCCTTTTAACCATTCCTTGCTGTTTCTCCTGCTGGTTTTCCCACCACCCCCCTCTTCCCCATTTTTCCATCCGTGCCAAGCGTGTTTCTGTGGAGTCTCAGTACATTGTGCCAGCCCAGCGTGGGGAGCATCCCCAGGGCAAGGGCTGCTGGGGGGGTCAGTCCAGCTGGGACAGGGCAGGGAAGCCATTGGTGCCCCTTGGGAGCAAAGCCCGTGGCACTGGGGACGTGCATCCCTTGTGAGGGAGCAGCTTGGTCAACTTATTCACGGAGTGATGATGGATCCAGCCCCTGCCTCCCCAGGGTGATGATGGATCCATGGGGAGATGCTGGATCCATGGGAAGATGATGGATCCATCCCTTGCCATGTCCATGGGGAGGTGATGGGTCTGTCCCCTGCCTCCACAGGGTGATGATGGATCCATGGGGAGGTGATGGGTCCATTCTCTGCCTCCACAGGGAGAGATGGATCCACAGGGAGATGATGGGTCCATCCTCTGTGTCCATGGGGTGATGCAGGACAGCTGCCAGCTCCGTTAGCAGCTCCCTCCCGTGCACCAGAAGATCCCCACGGCCATGCCCAGCAAGCAGAGGGTCCCCAGGATCAGCCCCAGCACCAGCGGAGCGCGTGACCGCCCGCTGAGTTTTCCTGCAAGAGCCAAGAAGGACGGAGGTGACGACCGGGGTCACCCCACCATGTCCCCCCGGCCCCAGCCCCGGCCCCAGCCCAGACCTGTCGCGGCGCTCTGAGCCCGCAGGATGCTGACACAGGTGGTGTTGAGGAAGTGCTGCAGGTGCTGCGTGGTTATGGGGTACTTCATCAGCTCCGTCTTGGCAAAGGTGGCCACCAGGTGCTGGCCGGGCCAGCGCCGCTGCCAGGTGGCGTTGGGGACATGGAAGCTCAGGAAGGCCGTCCCGTTGAGGGTCACCTCGTAGAAGCTCTGGGATGTGCCGTTGGGGAAGAGGCGGCAGCCGAGGTGGCAGCAGAGCCTCTGGGTGTCTGTGGGGACAGAGGGACAGACGGGGTCACCAGGTCCCACCCAAACCATGCCCTGAGCTCTCACGGCCACAGCCCTGCAACAGCCGACCCACCCACGGCTCTGCTCCCCCTCAGTGGCTTTTCCAGCGGCCGGGATTATTTTCCCTCCCTTATCTCCCAACAGCACAGATCCAGTTTTATGGAGATGAGAGGGTTTCGGGGCACCTATTGCTCTCCTGGATGGATGCACCCAGGGAACGGGGGACACCAGGATGTGGTGGTGTCATACCAGAGACCCCGCGGTGACACAGGGCTCCCCAAGGAGCAGGTACAGAAATGTGGAGCTGGGGAAAAACAGATTTGGGGGTAGGGAAGAAAAGGAAGGTGAAGCACAGCCTGGGAAGGAACAGCAGAGGAAACTGGGTTTGTGGAGAGGTGCAGGAGCACGAAACCATCACCAGCAGCAACCCATTGCTCCCAGAAAGCTGTGGGATTCTGGCAGGGAGCAGGCAGGGAGTAGACAGAAAGCAAGCAGGACGCAGACAGGGTGCAGGTAGGATACAGGTGGGATGAAGGCAAGAAGCAGGCAGTAAGAAGGCAGGATGCAGGCAGGGTGCAGGCAGTAAGAAGGCAGGATGCAGGCAGGGTGCAGCTGAGATACAGGTGGGATGCAGGCAGGGTGCCTACACCTCACTATCCCCTCCAGCTGCAGTCCCAGCCCTTTTCCCGAGGAGCAGCAGCAGGTTGAGCATCACCCCGTTCCCAGGGCAGGCTCTGGATGAGAAATTCCCGGCTCTACAGAAGGGCTCCCTTTGCCCAGAGAGGTTTTGCACATGGCCGTGTCCCCACCCCTCTGCCCACCTGTCCCTGCAGAGCCATCCCCGTGCCCTGGCAGCACAGGGGGGTCTCTCCTACCCCAGTGCCCCCGGGCACCACTCACAGTCCATGGGTCTCTCCTTGTTGAAGAGCTTCACCAGGTTGCTGAAGTTGCTGAGGTAGGTGGTCACGTCCTTCTGCCGCCGGGCCCAGGCGTCGGGCGGCTCCAGCGGCAGCACCTGGGTGACACTGTGCCCCTCCAGCACGTGGCTGAGCCGCCCGTCCAGGCTGGCGTTCCCCCAGAAGAGGGAATTGCCTTCGAAGACGCGGGTGTGGTGCACCATGGTGAAGGTGAGCGGGGCTGCGGGACATGTGGGACATCACACACCGCCCCGTCACCCCCGCGAGCCCCGCGCCCACCCCCTGCCAGCCCCGCGTCCCCCCACGCCAGCCCCGAGCTCTCGGCTCCCGTGCCCCTGCCTTACCCGCCTGCTCCGCCCCGCAGCCCAGGGCCCCGCAGAGCAGCAGCAGCCGCAGCATCGCGGGAACGGGTGCGGGGATGGGGACGGCGCGGTGGCCCCGAGGCTGGCCCGGCCGGGAGTTCGGCGTGGGGACAGCGGTGGGCACGGAATGGTGGCCCCGGGCTGGCCCATGGGATGTTAAGCCGGCCGGGGAGGTGGGGCTGTGGGAGGAGGAGAGCGGGACTCCAGCCAGGTCTCTCCCATTTCCTCACCCGACCCACCCGCACCCCTTCCCTGCCGGACATGCCGGGCACTGCAGTGCCCCGGGATGCGGGATGAGGCTCCAAGATCACCTCGGGACAGAGAGAATTGGGCGAGCAGCCAGTGCCTGCCTCACTTTCCCCATCCATTGGCTGGGCAGGGTCCATCCCGCCCCCCTGGAGACCATTCCCAGGGAATGGGGGAGGGATGGAGGGAGCAGCCTCACACCCACCAGGCCTGGAGTGGGCATCCAGCACCAGAACATCCCTCCCTGGAAGGGGGTGACACTCGGGGGAGCTAAGCTGAGGGGTAGGAACAATTCCTTCCCAATATCCCACCTAACCCTGCCCGCTGGCAGTGGGAAGCCATTCCCCCTTCTCCTCTCACTCCAGGCCCTTGTCAGTAGTTTCTCTCCATCTTCCTTGTAGCTCCTTCAGCCACTGCAAGGCCACAATCAGGTCACCCCAGAGCTTCTCCTCTCCAGGCTGAACAATCCCAGCTCTCCAGCCTTTCCTCCCAGCAGAGCTGCTCCAGCCCTCTGACCACCTTGGGGCCTCCTCTGGACTCTCTCCAGCAGCTCCATGTCCCTCCTGTGCTGTTCCCAGGGCTGGAGCAGCTCTGCAGGGGGGTCTCCCCTGAGGGGCAGAGGGGCAGAATCCCCCCTGCCCTGCTGCCCACGCTGGGGGATCAGCCCAGGGCACGGGGGGTTCTGGGCTGGTTCATGTCCAGCCTCTCCCCCCCCCAGCCCCCCCAGGCCCTTCTCCCAGGGCTGCTCCATCTGCTCATCCCCAGCCTGGACTGATCCCGGGGCTGCCCCAACCAAGGTGCAGCCCCAGCCCTTGGCCTTGTTAAACCTCAGGAGATTCCCAAGGGCCACTTCTGGAGCCTGTCCAGGTCCCTCTGGATGGCCCCGTCCCCCAGGTGTGTCCCTGCACCCTCAGCTCGGGGTCACCTGCAAAGCTGCTGAGGGTGCCCCTGATCCATCCTCTGGGTCAGTAATGCAGATATTAAATAAATAACACTGGGCCCAGCACACACCCTGAGGGCACCACTGCCCACTGGTGTCCACTGGGACCCTGAGCCATTGACCACGACCCTCTGGATGGGACCATCCAACCCCTTCCTTGTCCATCCATTGAATCCTTCTCTCCCCAGTGTAGAGAGAAGGATGTTGTGGGGGACCATGTCCAAGGCTTCACAGCAATGCAGATAAATGACTTTATAATCCATAGAAATGTCCTCCGTAGCCCCTCCCTTGTCCACTGATGGAGTCACTCCACCACAGAAGGCCA